GCATCTTTGGTTAGTGATAAGAATGGAAGTCTGGCTGTCATGAGGCATGTAAAGAATTCAGGTGTTCTAGCTACAATTCGACATCCAATCTGGGAGACGCGAGACCGTACATCAGTTTATGCAAGATAGTACTGTCTTCGAGTAGTTGGCTTTGAGCACATGACGGTAAGACGCAGGGAAAGATGGCTAGGTATGTAAACACAAGTGCCGCCGGTAAAGTTGACTAGCCAGTCGGTATTACTATTGCTGTCCACCGATACCGCACGAAATTCGAGGGCATCTTACCGCCTAGTCACAAGAGCGTTGTTAGTCTTGTCACCGCCGCACTGCCAGTATCTAAAAGCAGTCTGGACTGTAACTTAGAAGATTCATTGATTACATAATTATCGTTTAGGCAAAAACTGACTTCGTTACCAAATCCATCTCGAAAGAGGCCCAGCGCGTTGTAGATTATATGGTTCGTTGTCCCCGGCAATCGCTCATTCGTCACCACAAGATGAGAGCATATAAAGGTGATTAACGATTCACGCCCCAGCGTGCTCTCCCAGATTTGCCAGAGTGTGTTCCACCTTGCACATAATACTTACGAAACAATGGTCAAGATCATATGGTATACGACTGCCTTGGTAACGTACATCTTGCTACTTGATTGGATCCCTGTAGTAGCTTCGGCGCAATATTTACTCGGTCTAGGTTTGTTTGTATCAAAAGAGACAGATATCAGAACTGATTCAATATGTGGCTACAGGCATCGGGGATATCACCGGGTGAATTTTTGTCTCGTAGTCGTGTGTACAGAACTGACTGGTCAATGAAGACCCGTTGTCGAAACGAACATGATGGTAATCAGCATAATCAGTTCTTAGAGGGTCGTCATTAATCCGGGTTCGTAGGGATACGCGTCTCTAGAGCAAGTCGACTCTGGTTTGCACATGAGGCAACGTAGTCGCGCTTTCATTGTTGCAGAAGCCGCATCTCCGTCTAATCGAGTCGTCTTTATAAATGCTGGTGCGAGACGATGAGTCGTATCTCAGATCTAGCACCGTTAACCAAAGGGAATCAGACATCGCCATGGGTGACACCGGAGTCAGACGTTCTATCATCTCCCAACTTGAGACTCTGTACTCTGGAATATACACCGCCACAAATGTTGCATTCGTTGGGACTCACCAGCATGCAGGAGTTGGCGGCTATCTTGAAAATCTTCTCCCACAAGTCACCTCGTTGGGGTATGTGAAAGAAACTGCAGACGCCATCGTTGCAGGAACAGTCTTGGCTGTAAAACGTGCACATGCAAATCTTGCGCCTGGAAAGTTAAGTGTTGGGAACACGACAATTCTAGATGCCAACATCAATCGCTCACCTACGGCCTATCTTGCTAATCCTGTTCTTGAGAGAGGGAAGTATCAATACGATCAAGACAAGGAGATGACAGTTTTGAGGTTTGATGACGAAAATGGAAACGCACGGGGTTTGCTCAGCTTCTTTGCCGTTCATGGAACAAGTCTCTACGAGGTGGATACTTATTTTCGTTCTCTCCTATTGTGCAGCTAAGTTGGAGCAGAACAACACTCTAGTTAGTACTGATAACAAGGGGATGGCAGCTTACCTATTCGAAAGTAGTGTTTTCACACAAAACTCCAAGTCTTTTTGTGTCACTGATGCCTGAATAGCACTGATGGAACCAACTTCCATGCCCGGAAACACAAGCTTTGTCGCAGGTTTTACGCAATGTGAGTAATGAATGACTCAAAAGCCACGGGCTTCCGCTCCCATCTTATGAGTCTTACCTGAGATTCTTGCTTACAGCTAATGTTGGTGACACGAGTCCAAATACGTAAGTCATCGTGTTCTCATAGTTTTGAGGTTTTCTCTCCCTTTGGAGTGCTGACTTAAATGTCCCGTTTCTACGTCAGCCTCGGGGCATTTTGTGAAAGTCCAGGAGAAGATTATGACGGTTTTCCATGTGATGCAGACCATTCCACTTGTGGTGGGACAGTCCAAGACTGTCACGGTCGGTCAGTTCAAACAAAACGATGCATCATCAACATTGCCACTCACACACTGTATCCAACATAAAGCGGGCCGGGATTCCACATATCCGACTTTGAATCAAATAGAATTATCGGGGAGAAACAATTTGAAGGGGCTCAAACCATTATGAACGGGGTCAGGAGTCCTGTGAATGGAACGGTTAGAAGCGTGCATGTCTACCTCAATATGTACGGACACGATCTTCATGGTCTTTGTTTTCTCCTGTTCTATGACAAGCACTTAGGTCAACATATTCTTTTACCCTACCCAACGGCTCCACTGTCTCGACTTGTCCCGCTGCTATGGGTTAGTACCTTCATGATAACCTCCAGATTCCCGGATTCTAATGAATGCACTCTTTGTTTGCCATAGGATACTCTTTCGCCGGTGGAACGACGTAGGTTCACAAGCTATTGATTTCATGTATACACTTGAATCCATCTCAAACAGTGATGGTCCTGGAGCGTTTGATTTTATTCAAGGAGAAAACTCATCAACTACACAGTACGTTACATTACGTTCTTATTATCTTTGTTCACCGATTGTAGGAATCCATTTTGGGAGCTTGTTAAAGGTCAGTTGATACGCTACCTCGGTCTACGGTGTTTGGGCCTAATAATCTGAGGGATTCGCATTCCGGTTCTGACCCTTGTTGTGTTATCTAGGCGCAGTAACACCTTTGCCTTCAGAGGACCAAGTAGCTTGTCAATATCCAAAGCCTATCCTGCTCAATACGGTGCGTATCTAGTTTTTCGAGTTCGTCCTCGCTGATGAAATGAAGGGGTATGCTCATAATCCGTATGACTGGTCTCCAAACACCGTCGACGTTCAAATGCTCCGAGTGGGTAATCTCGGTATGTGTTCCGGCGACCTAATCATGATTCTCATTGATCCCTGCAAACCTAATTTCAGTGATGTTGATCATGCCAGGTATGCTGCTGCCTTGTCTGATATGTTTGAGGAACCGTTCAGTGGTGGTTCTCCTTAGGTGAGTTGACAACTATGGCCGGACGAAGGATGCGGTTTGTTCTTTCTTTCTGGCTTTCACGGTCAAATTACTAATGTACTGTCGATACAGGGAGGCAATTCGAGCCAAACTCATATCGTCGAATATCCTTGGATCTGATGCATATGTTGTTATCGCTGGTCCGGCAAACACATATGGTCATTACGTTACGACTCGCGAGGAATATAGCGTGCAGAGATATGAGGGTGCATCAACAATCTTTGGCCAGTGTGTGTGGCATTCCGTCATTGTTCTGCAAAGGATCGCTATTCAATTTAATCCAATTTATGCCGCAGTTACACTTGACGCCTATATTGACAAGTACTCTAGCCTTGTTCCCTTCCTCGCCGATAATGCAACCGGTGTCCCTGCTTCTGACCCCGCTCCAGTAGATCAAACTCCTAAAGCAATTTCTTTACGGGTTTGTTCCTCTCCCTGTCTTCTATAAGTCGTTTTGACATGTTGCGTGATGTGTATAGCCTGGTGTCGTCTTCGACGCGGCCCCTGTTGGAAAAACTTTTGGCGACGTCCTGGTTGATGTGAATACCACAATGTATCGTGCGGGTGATACAGTTTCGGCCCAATTTGTTGGTGCCAACCCCAGAGTGAGTATACTCCGTTACCTAATCTTCAAAGGCTGCCGAGAAGTGGTGAGCACCATGTCTTTTTCGTACAATGGCATTGTGGGTTCACGGTTCTCGGTGTTTGTTTGTCCTTCATGGCAGCCTTGAACGCATACCCCTCCAGCTGTCTAATTCACGCATGCCGTTCAACTCTCCTTTGCAGTACCCAGCGGGCATGCAGCTTGTGCAAGGTATGCCGATCCACAAACGGGATATCTGTAACCTACTTGGTATGGGTTTATAAAATCATTGATGGATCTGTGCTTACGATCCCTCATGCTTTAAATTCGGAAATTAGAATCGGATTGTATCGTAACGGCTCGGGTTTTAGGACTCTCCGAACTTCCAGGGGAACCAACGGTGGCACAACGGCGCGCTCAGATTGGAGAGTTTTTAGGTGCTATGTGAATGGACGGACATTTACAGCGATAATAAAAGGACATTGTTTTCTTCAGGCTTTCGTATATGTTTTGTATGTTAACCATCATATATCTGGACACTGCATATTCTCACATTAATAAATAAATTGCTCCACTCGTTCTACACTGTTATTAATGAACAAAAGAAAAAAAAACGCTCCACAGGCCCCCAAAAATGGGGTATGAAATGTCGAACCTGAAGCTGAAGGGTCGCCGACTCGGAAAGTCCAAGGATCGGCTATTGTCAAAGTCGAAAGGCGTAACCGAACAGTGACACATTTCCAGACGATCCGATTGCATGACTTAGCGAGTTAGTAGGGTTCTGTGCCGGATCGACCTTTTATTCCGTAACTCATGAAAACGAGAGCTCGTATACCATAGCTTCTTTGCTTGAAAGTTGAAGATCACTTTACTCAGTTAGAGTGTTGGCCAAGCCTCCCGAAAATTTGGTTTTAACTGTCGAACCTGAATTTAATGCTCCAACTGTTTAGTTATCGTTTACGGCCTTGGAGTAGGCCACGAACTCGAGTTGTCCGACGATCTCGGTTACTTATTCAACTTATTGCTACATAAGGGCAACCGACGACAGTTCCAGGCGGTCCGGTGACGACGGCAACCGTGGGATGTCCTGCTCGGTTGGCTCGGGAATGAATTCCAGATCAGATCAATGATTTATGATAGCCCTGAAGAATATGGCAAAATGACAGGCGCGTGTACTCACCGATATACTAGCAAAGACTGCAAGGCAGAGACTCATCCCGGTGTTATGCTGAATGGACAGAGCGAAACCATATTTTTTGACAGATCATCGAGTTTCACTAAAAAGATGATTGTTGGACCTTGCTCCGGTGGCGGGTCATATCATTCCCGGTTGTTGGTTGAGCAAAAGATGAAACAAAGTTCTTCGACAAAAACAAGCTCTTTGCCTGGGAGTCGAACCCAGCTTTCGCGCGTACAAGGTGACAGGCGCGTGTACTAACCGATATACTAGCAAAGACATGGCGGGGAGCAACGTGCTTGGTACACGTGCATGGACGGAACAAGGCCAAACAGGATGATCGCTTGTCTGTGCGGCGCTTTTTGAATTTTGGGCGAATCTTGTGCTGGCCATGCTGGCCGTCGTGCAGCCTTACAATCCCTCAGACATCGTTCGGCCCCGCCGCATCCCGTCGTCGTCCTCATCGTCGTCCTCGGCGTCCTCGTCATCGTCGGCGTCGTACCCCAGACCATCTACATCTACCGCAGCATCGGCATCGGCAGCCCGCGCCCAGCAGACACCAACCATCACGTCGTCGTCGTCCGCCGCGCCTCTGCGCCCACAGGTCCACGTCCACACCCGGACACGGCTGCAGCCACAACCCCAGCCGCCGCGCCCACAGACGCCACCGCCCGCGGCCGTCGACATCCACTCGTATCCCGCGCCCGATCTCCTGCGTCTCCTCGCGTCGCTCCTCTCCCAGATCGCAGCGACCAACGACTCGCTGTCGCCCCTCCCCTCGCCGACGGCGCTGCACCCGCACCCGCACCCGCACCCACATCCACCTCCGCATCCGCATCATCCGCACCCGCACGCATTGACGCAGCTGTGGCCGCGTCTGACGACGGCGGCGCGGGTGGCGCTGACGACGCCCGCGGCGACGCTCACGTTCCACGCGCGCAACGTGCCGACGATCTCCCTCGAGGCGTACCTCCTGCGCATCCTCAAGTATTGCCCGACGACGAATGAGGTGTTCCTCGCGTTGCTGGTGTACTTTGACCGCATGAGCAAGCTCAGCGCGGATGCCGTCGGCCGGAGCTTTGTTATCGACTCGTATAACATCCATCGCCTCGTAATCGCCGGCGTCACCGTCGCGAGCAAATTTTTCAGCGATGTCTTTTACACGAATTCGCGTTATGCAAAGGTGCGGTCGTCATCAAATAATAATCTCTTCATTTTCTCAACTAACTAATAATATTTTTTTCAATGTAACAGGTTGGCGGGCTCCCACTCGCCGAGCTCAACCAGCTCGAACTGCAGTTCCTGCTCCTGAACGACTTCCGGCTCGTGATATCCACAGATGAAATGCAGCGGTACGCCGAACAGCTTGTGCTCTTCTCCACAGCCTCGCAGTCCCCCACGGCATCCCCCGCGCCCCCTACATCCCCACCGCTCCCCCCGCCGTCCCCCTCCCCCCTCGCACCGCACCATCACGCAGTCAACGGCGCACCCACCACGTCCGCTGCTGTCGATGTGTACCGTGCTGCGCTGCCTAACCACAACCCCACACGCATGCACAACCACCACGAGCATGGCCACGAACCTGCGTCGTTCGCCGCGGCGGCGTACAGGTCGCGCGCCGATGTCGAGACCGACACCGAGGGGGAGGCGGAGGGCGAGACTGAAACAGAAACAGAAACGGAAGCGGACACGGAGGCGGACACGTCTACGACTGACGATGAGCCGACTATCCGCCCGGGGCGGGGGAGCGGTGCGTCGACGTCTACGTCGGACGCGGGGAGCGTGTGTTCTGTTGATTTTGGGGATGGGGATGGGGAGGGGGATGTTGCTGATGGGGAAAGGGAGAGGGCATGGGAAAGGGCTTGGGAAAGGGAAAGGGACCGGGAACGGGTGGCGGAAGCAGAGGAGACGAGGACGCCGGCGCAGATGCAGATGCGCTGCGGGACGCGGCGGGAGAGCCTGGAGGGGGCTGTGTCTGATACGGGCGATGAGGGCGGGGATGAGGATGATGGTGCCTCCGGCAGCGGTGGCAGTGGTGGAGGTGGCGTAAGTGGTGGCGGGGGGTGGAGCAGTGCGGATGAGGGCGGGGAGCGGGCAAGGGAGAGGGGGAGGAGCAGGGGTAAGGGGAGGAGGGGGAGTGTGGGGAGTGTGACGAGGGGGCGGGTGAGGAAGAGGGTTAAGGGCGAGGGTGACGGCGAAGGCGGGGATGAGGTTATGGCGAGTCCGTAGGGGATTAGAGAGCTCTGCTTTTTTTCTCTTTTCTCTCTCTCTGTAATGCATGAATTTCGATATCTTTGCACGCAATAATCTCTTTTCTGTTCCTTTTTCCTTTCTTCTCTGCTTTTTTTTTTCTTTTTGAATGATAACCAATCCCCGCAATGTGATGAGACTTGTGAATTAAAAAAAAGAATGATGTGCCATATATGTATCACAACCGTCTTGGTTACGTCATGGGACGAAGCGCCACAGGTTATTAAGCTTTAAAGTTTTGAGTTGATACCTATGACTATGACTTTCAGGGACACCCGTGTCCCTTTTTCCGCGCACTGAAACCGTCATCTGCGTATCAGCCTTGGTCCACAGAATCACAACCAACACGACAACCACGACCCTCACAAACTACCTCGGCACCATCCTTACAACGTACGTTCGGCGTGCGCAGCCACACCTTACATGTGGAAACTCATTGAAAGACCAATAAATTCTTTGCTAGTATATCGGTTAGTACACGCGCCTGTCATCATGATGCTTCATCAATTGACGCGCGAAAGCTGGGTTCGACTCCCAGGCAAAGAGGTTTTGTTTTTTCTGTGAGTGTTGTATTTTCTTGGCTATGAGTCGGTGTTGATATTCATCTGCTTCTTTTGCTGTGTGGGTCACGTTATTTTTGATTTCTTTGTGTGCCATAATAATCTCTCTTTTTCTGATAATTTTTTTCTTTGCTTTCTTCTGGGATGATAATCCTCACAATGCATGTGATGATTACTTGTTACAAGAAGCAATGCGCCATATATCATGGTATCAGGCTGTCAATCGCGATGACCCATGACATTGGGCATTTGTACTATGTCATTGTGCGCCACAGTGTATTTAAATAGATGAAGTTTGACAATCCATACTTGTTAGTATCATTGGGTTGATTCATACCGAGAAGCTGCAATCAAGATGTGGGGGGGTGTATAAGGTGAAGTATGGTGTGCACGGTGTCTTGGTTGGTATTCCTGTGTGTATCTCGATTGATTACAGCTGAAAGAAGCACAGAAGGGGACAAAAGTACTTGGCTGCAAGCTGTAATAGCTAATTGTAATGTGCTGTACGTGATGTGTCGTTTCTGCCTTTCTCTTCGGTGACGTCGGTGGGAATAAGTATCCGTCATTGTGAGCTGTGCGCGGAGGTTAATTTCTACCATTATGTGGAGCACTGTTAGTTTTATTGAAGCTTCTCGCAAATTATCATGTGGTGAGTCATTCAATGGTTTGATGTGGTCTTTGGGACATAGGTTAATGCTCTGTGAAAGAGGGGCACTCGTCATGGGATCTACAATGCCGCTCGCCCTCGGACGCCGACGAGATGGGCACAAATGGAATTAATGTGTAGGTGGTTTGTTGCCGTTCTGGCAAGACTTTGATTAGATCTCCGTCTCTTCAATTGCCGAGGCAAAGTATCCTGATCACAAGAGGGAAAAGTTAATGATCGAGATATCAGAGGTTGATGCCGCCTGTACTACGGTGTACCATTTGATTTTATTTGAGGTTCTTTATTCAACTTTGACTTGAAGCTTTCGTTTGATAATGTTCACAGGTCATCTGAGAAGATCAAAGCTTATTGTTTTAGCTTTCAGAGTCAGTTTGATATTGCACTGCTCCCGTCAAGTCATATCTCATTTACCTCATTTTGAGCCATTTAAGATTTGACTATTCTGATATCTCCCTTTCTAGAAACGAAACCCGGCTCTTTTATTCTCTTACCTCAGTGAGCTGCTCAATCAACCAATTGTTTTCACGTCCACATGACCTCTTAAGAGACCCTCATCAGAACCTCATCTCCATTATCCCGATCTGAATCTTGTTCAAAGTGAAATTCAAAGTCTTTTTCTATCTGGCCAGGGCTCCTTTGCAACGGACCTTACAGATGTCGTGCTTTACGGAAGCTCAAGGTCTCGCGTAAGAACTCGTGTAAATTCTAGATCTACAAAAGCTCTCTACCTCGAATAATAAAAATATAAGGGATAAGCACGAAGAGAAAAGATGCATCATGCACACGGTTTCCTTACATCTTCTCATGTTACATACAAGTTACACCGAAGAACTGCCCAATCTGAGCGCGACGTTGGTCTACAGTCGGGTTCCCTGGAAGTTTGGGGAGCTTCAGGAATGCGGCTATGTCGATACAGTCTGACTCTGGTATAAATCAACAAATATTCAACAAAAAAGTGAGACTATACGGAGATTCCTACCCAAGAAGTTGAAAATATCACTTTTCAGAAAATGCATGTTTTCGGGCACCTCCATTCCTGCTGGGTACTGGAGACGAGAGTTGTGCGGGATGCCAGCGTTTTGAATCTGGATTGGGATCCACTCGACGCTGAAAAAGCAAAATAGAAAGACATAGGTCGTGATCCAAATCAGGGCTTGATTTTGGGCATGAGAAGAGGCACGTAAAACTGACCGTTCTTCGATAGCAATGACACGCGTTTTGAGTTCTACAAGCTCATGTCGGTACTGAGCCTGTGCCGCTTCCACAACTGTAGTCAATTTTTCGATTGCGTCCTGGACCATTTTGAGGACCTATATAGTAGATGAGAAGAATTGATCAATCCGTCCAAGCCGTGCTCTGAATCATGTACAAAGAACCAGAAAACCTGGATCGAAGTGCTTACCTGGATATGCTCGAGGAACAACGGTTGTTGTTCGTCATGCTTGTGGACTGAGTGATAATTTAGAGACTTGGAGCTTGGGTCAAGTTGAGCGTGATCAAGACGACGTTGCTGAATCATGATTTAGTGGACGTTGTTGGGATGTCGGGGGATGTCGATATTATATTTTCAATCTGTATATAAGTTGATTTGCGACCGAAGTCACGAGTCATGGGTCCCAGATTTATAATGATAAGGCAAGTACTAGGTTCCACTTCCACGACACGAGGGTTCCATGATCTACTACTCCATTTGAACTTGTAGTCAACCTTTGATATACACAACTTAAATCGTCGCCGTAAGCTATCGATATACTCGATCTGAATCGGCCTGTAATCTGACTGCTAAACATACATATGCTGGCTTGGTTTTGATGCGACTTGTGTAATCCCTACGATTACGACTCCTTCTAAATTTTGATTACTAATCGCCTCCGTCTTTGCTTCCGTTTGTATACATATACTTCCGACACTCTATTCTTTTACTTTTAGGTTCACCATATCATTGTCTCTCTCACGGACGGGAGAGCGAGGTTCTGTTGTTTGTCTCGGCTTATGTTTCAGTGAGCACCATGTCCGACAATTTGGCGTTCCTTGTGGTGTGAAGATGTAGTCCAAGTGGTGCACGAGAAGTACATCAGCAAAATGGCACTGGTGTGACTTGGCCAAGTAAGGCTAAGTGTTGGAGGAAAGACTCGTCTAACCGTCAAGTGCGGTCATACCAATCTAGACGATTGCCGTTTAGGGACTGTGCGCCATAAGCCCCATTGATTATTCGGCAATCCTTTGTTTTTTTCTTCTTATGTTATCGCGTACAAACAAATCACCCTCAGTCGACTACTTCTATCAGAGCGACTGAGGGTGAGTAGATAAAACTTAGTCTTTACCTTGACACCTTACCAAGTCCTGTAGACTAAAACTGTGTTTTACCCTACAGGTAAATAAAACCTTAGTAGTCTAAAGTCAGAGTGACTGAGGACTAAAACTGTGCTTCAATTTACAATAAATACAATAAATAAGAGGTCCAATGTAATATAATAGGGACAGTGTATGGAATCCATTACATAGCATAATAAACAATCTGAATTTCTAATTTAGTGCTTCAAGTCTAAGATTCATCTTATAATCCCATGTTGTCACGACCCGCTACTGACCCCCGGGACTTAGCCCCGGCCCCGGGACTCCAGCGCTCCCAATACCACCCCCATA